CAGTCTATCTATCACTCTATCTATCAGTCTGTCTATCTATCACTCTATCAGTCTGCCTATCAGTCTATCAGTCTTTCTATCACTCTATCAGTCTGCCTATCACTCTATCAGTCTTTCTATCACTCTATCTATCACTCTATCACTCTATCTATCACTCTATCACTCTATCAGTCTTTCTATCACTCTATCCCCCCCCCCAGTTTTTCGTTGTCATGGTCGACGTCTACAGAAGCTGCTGTGAAGCTAAAGTTCGAGTAGTTTCTGTCGTGGTCGGTGTGATGAGGTGAACTTGTTCGTAAAGATTCATCAGTTCATCAGCTGCGGATGTTTAACATTTAGTTTGTGAACTGAGTAAACATCATAACTTAGCCTCACACACCTCCATCTGTCCATCTGCCCTTTATTCATCCATTCATCTGTGTTGACATCAAGATAAAAACCACAAGCAAGCATGACCTTATTAGGAGATCATCTTCTTCTTCATCCTTATCATCCTCGTCTTCATCATGAAAACGCCTCACCATCTCTCCAGACGTTTGTCTCACTTCATTTCCCATCAGCCCCGTCATTCCTGCTGGACGCTGACGCTGTTGGTCATTGTGTTTGTGTAAGTTGAGCTGCTGAGTCAGAGTAATGTCTGTCTTCATCGTCTTCCTCACGGAGAGATGAAATAACAACGGCTCATTATTTAAACCTGTTGATATCTTCTGAGTTCAACCTGATTTTAAAGAGTTGTTCTAAAATGATTCTGAGCGTGAACTGAATCTGTTTTACTCTTAAAACACCGAGACTCATCATGAGGTTCTGAAGAGTTCACTGGGTTCTGAAGTTCTGAGGATCCTGCAGGATGGAACATCTCACATGATTAAGGTTCAAATGTCAATGAGACTTTATAGATGAAACAAAAAGGGTTTCAACTGAAAGAGAACACCAGCAGTTTAAGGTCCTCAGGATTCGAAATGTTCTAAAAGTAGTTAAAGGTTCAGAGGCTCTCACAGTTTACAGGTTCTAAAGAAGGTTTGCTGCGTCCACAGATGTTCTGCAGGTTGTAGTGGTTCTAGTAGCTTCTAAACATGCATTTTTACTAAGTGTTTGAAGAATGTCGGATCAGTTTCTAAAGGGTTCTTTAGGTGAAGCTGAAGAAATGGAAGGTGATTGAGTTAGGTCCTGGTTCTAAAGTTCTGTCAGGTTTTCAATGTTTTTAGAGATAGTGTAAGTTCCTGTCTCTCTCCCACATGCGGTCTGACAACGGAGAACCCAGAGAACGGAGTCACAGCTGAGTGTAGAGGAAACAGAGAAGACGCAGAGTTACAGAGGAATCAGACGTCTGGGATTCACCCTCTGCTGTGATGACATCATGACTGCGGGGGAAATGTGTGTGTGTGACTCGTCAGTTTTTCTTTGAGGAGGAAGAACCTCCAGCTCATGTCTGTGAGCTCACGCTCGCTCAGTTGCCTTATAAAGGCGTTGGTGTTGTGTATTGTGATCTGAACGTGTCTTCACTGGTGGTTTCTTTAAATAACTCACAACCTGTGAGTCATGAACCTGTCGTCAGCAGAACGCCTGGTTTTTAAAGAAAGCTTCACATCTGCCAGGAGAATATGACGGAGAAAACCGACGCTCTTCAACTCTGAAGTCCGTCGTCCTTGTGTTGTTACAACCTCAGAGCCTAAAGTTTTCACAAAGTTTCCATACGATGTCTGAATTTGGGTCAAATGTGTAGAAAGTGATGCAGCAGAATATTTTCATGTGTCTTTGAAAATCTTTGAAAATCACAGTTTGATGTTTATTTCTGAGGAGAAGTGAAGGAAGCGTTGGGACGAGAGTGTGTGTGTGTGTGTGTGTGTGTAAGAACTGCTCCATCTAGTGGACATGAGCTGTAATGTCTCTATGACCTCATGGTACCTCCACCTTTACCTTACCTTTTTTCTTTCAGTTTTATCTTTCTTCCTCCTCCCTTCATCTTTTATTCTGTCTCTATGTACCTCCTCTCCTGTTTTATCTTTCTCCTTTCCTTCCTTCCTGTGTTAATAAGTTTCATCCTCTCCTCTCCTCTCTCTCCTCTCTCTCTCTCCTCCTCCCTCTCCTCCTCTGTCCTCCTCTCTCCTCCTCCCTCTCCTCCTCCCTCTCCTCCTCTGTCCTCCTCCCTCTCCTCTCAGAGGAGCAGGTTAATTTATCTCCCTGTCTGAACAGTCTTATTGGTCATGGTGGGTCCTCCAGCTGTGTGATGGATTGTGTTGCTCTGACCTCACAGTGGGACAACTGAGTCTCTCTCTCTCTGTCTCACTCTCTCTCTCTGTCTCTCTCTCTCTCTCTCTCTGTCTGTCTCTCTCTCTCTGTCTGTCTGTCCCTCTCTCTCTCTGTCTGTCTGTCTCTCTCTCTGTCTGTCCCTCTCTCTCTCTCTGTCTGTCGGTCTGTCTCTCTCTCTGTCTGTCTGTCTGTCTGTCTCTCTCTCTGTCTGTCTGTCTGTCTCTGTCTGTCTGTCTGTCTCTCTCTCT